ATCAGGTAGTATCCCCTGGATACTGTATCGGCAAACTCAGATAAAACCTTCTATCCCATTTTTTATCCACCCTTGTTACATGCGTACGGAACTCGTGATAAGGGCGGATAACGTTGATAAAAATTATTCTATCAGCCCTTATCAGGCCAACCGAATGGAGCCCATATTGATAAAACTTTAGAGAAATCCTTCTCTTTGCTTCTATAAAAGTATTGAAGGGTATGTTTGGATTTGCATTTGAATTTTTTTTTCTATTTTTTGAAACAAAAAAAAAGCCATTTTATAAGTTGTTTTTAAGATGATTTTTAGGAAATGAGGTCTCTTTTTGTATAATACTAAAAATTGTTTAAAAAATTTAACAAATATTTTAAATTGGAAATGAAAAACAATACGAAAGAAGGAGAAGAAAACCAAAATGGGTATTTTTCCCTTGGAAATTGAAGTTGATTGAAAATGAATTTAAGAACAGGGAATGTCAGTAGATACAAAAACTCATCCTTCGAGAAACCCTGAGAAAATTGTATTAACTGAATTAATAAAAATAAAAAGTCAGCTGTAATCTGAGGAGTTGAAGCATAAGCGGATGAGTCAAACAATAATTAAATTCACAACCAAACTTGTGAATAGATTACCAAACTCAAGCCTGAGTGGGAAGGGGAAGAGGAGCAATAAGTGAAGGCACGTGGGGTTGGGTCGGGTTGGGTTTGGTTGGATAAGAGATATCAATTATTCTGGTCACGTGAGAGATATCCATTATTCTGGTCAGATGCACGCAAAGCTAAGACCTTACACATGCTACAAGGGTGTTTGTATCTGTAATATAGAAAGTGCTTTTACACTTCATAAAAAGTGCTCATAAGGTGTTTAGACAGTATTTCTAACTTAAATTTCAATTTTTTGAAATTAAAATTTTTAAAGTAAAAGTTAATTTAGAGAAATTAAGAGGAGTTATTTTTAAATTTGGATGGTAATTTGGTAAATAAATAAATACTATTTTACATATAATTTAATTATTTTACTCACGTTAATATTTTCTAAAATTTTGAATTACTCTTGTCGTTTTCTCTTATCTTCTTCCCTCTCCTCTCTCCTTTCTACTCCACCATTGTCAAATAGCACCTTTGCCGCCACCTCCAGAGATTGCCATTACATGCGGCCGTTCTATGAAATTACTGCACGCACGACTCCAGCCACCACGGCTGCATGCGCCCGCTGCAATGACCACACGTAACGGCTCTAGACACCGCTGTTGCATGTGGCGATTATAGCATGGGAAGAAAATTAGAAATTTTTTTTTTTAAAATATATATTTATAAAAGGTAAATTTGTCATTTTGATCCTAAAAATTTTTCTACCATCATTTTATAGAAATTATATTTCAAATATTATTTTACTAATTTTAAAAACTTTTTTTTACCCATTTTACAAACACTCCATATTTCTCATTTAAATTAATTTTACTCGTTTCTATTTAAAATACTCACTTCTAATTTTACAAAATTATTACAAACACCCTCCACATGGTTTATGTTTGAAGCCTAAAACATGGGACTTTCTTAAAACTATGTGCCCATGCACATGCCATGACCTCCAACATCCATTCATCAAACACCATCATCATCCACATAGAGATACACACACTCTAATGTAAACGTTTTTAAATTAGACTTTAAGACTCATATCAATATATAAGATTTACATACCATACTATTTTTAATGATAGGACTATTTTCTCATATAAAAAAGTAAAATTTATGCATACATATTGAGATATAAATTTATTTTATTACAAGAGAAAATAATACTAAGACAATATTAAATAAATTTCTCGTTTAGTATGGATATATACTTCATCTAAAAGAATTTTTTTCATTATCATTTTTATAATATGGAAATATTAAAAATTCAAAAGGTAGTTTTTTAGAAAATAAATTTATCATAATTTTTATTATAAATTTATTTTTCAATATGCAAATTCCACGTGTAATTAGAAAAATAAAATATTAAAACACATCACTTTAGACCCGATACGTGTTCTAGTTTTTTTTATTTGTTTCCTATTTTTAAGCTTAAACAAAAGCAGGCCAAGGTTAGCCGAACTGTATGTTAATGGATCTCCAAATCCCCCCAAGTCGGTAGAGATCCACGAATTCGGGTCTGATCCGGATGGAACCCATGCCCATCCGCAGCCCTCATAAACATTTTACCCGCAAACCACATTATTTGCCTTAAAGCTCACGTGTAACCAACTAACTTCATGCTTTTGTCTTTTGACTGGGCTTGTGCTAAGTGATAAGGATGTGTTTGGGAGTTTTGCCTTTTACCCACTTTCTTTTACATATCTGGGTGCTGCTCAAAGGTCTGCACATAAAATTCCAAATTAAATAATAATTAATAATTATTTTTATTTTTAAAACTAAAATATTTTCATTAATAAATTATTTCATCTTTAAATCCCAGGAGAATTTAATAGCAGGGCCCGTCTTCACTTGTACAGAACCTATTTTTAGAATGGGTACATTTCCCCTTTTGTCCTTCAAATTGGGGGGCCGGTCTGGATTTGTCTTTGAAATTAATTTCTTTTTTTGTTTTATCAAATTTGTTAGCAGTTTCTTTGACATGCTGTTGTTCTTATCACCTAAAATTAGTTAACTGTTTGTTGTTTGAAATTATCTATTAAAGTAATAAAATATTTATTTAAAAGACCCATTATTTTTTTCGTCCTTAAAAGTCATTTAGTTCTATACCATTTTTCTAAAAAAATAATTAGTGAGAAACATTTAAAAGTAGATAAATGAGACAAAAAAAATATTTTCTTTTCAGAGTTTCTGGGAATTATGAATATAACTTTTTAAATAATAGAATATTTAAGATATTTTTTGTTTTGGAAAAATATAGAAAATGAAAACAAAGCTGTTTGGATATTGAATTTTTTAGAAACTTAGGAGGACGTTGTCTACAAAGTAAGTAATTATCAAAGCGTGATTGACCTTCTCAATGTCTAATTATTAAATTAATAGGAGCTTAAAAAAGTTAACAATTAATTACGTCAAACCTGAAATATGACGCCAAGGGCTATTGGTATGGACTCAAAGTCCTTTTGTGCTTTTGCTTAAATGCTTTTGACTTTGTTTATTTTAATTATAATCCAATTCCTCCACGACATGTGCAATTGTCCCCTCCGCCTCATCTCGCCCCATACAACGTGTCCCCCTCACATGTCCACATTTTCTTTCTTTTTTTATTTTGTTTTCACAAGCTCAAATTTTAAGGATAATACCGCAATTAAAAACCCATAGCATATTGAAATTTAATAAATAAAATATTTAATATTTTTGTGATTTAAGAATATTCTTTAGGCTGTTTGTTTAATTAGTGAAGTTTGAGTAATTAAATTCTTTATATATTTTTATTCAGGTGTATATGTAATTTCCTTTGAAATTGATTTTTTCAAAATTTAATTTATATGTCACAACGTCATTGCTGTCTCTTTAAAAATTACATTTGCTAGGTCATATTGTTTACACTTATAATCTAGTCTCTTTTTTTCACTATTCCAATTCTTAACATTTAAACTTATTATCATTTTACTGACCTACTTCGTACGTGCTTTACATATATTACAATATTGTCAAACTATCTTGTTGATATTAATTTTAATATAACTTGTTACCAATTATTACTCCCTGTTCTAAAAAAATATATAAATTAAGATATGCAACTTCTCACTTATATAACATAGTCTAATTCTTATGTTTTAATTGTATATATAACACAAAAATAAGTATAATTATATTTTGGTGAGTGTTAATTTATTAAATTAATATTAAAAAAATTCGTGAAATAAAGAGATGAATTGTTTATTTGGTTGAAATTTTAAAATGGGTATTTATTTATTGAAAGAAAAGCAGGGAATCATGCACCATTGGCGACTTTCTTGTTGATTAAAAAATCTACTTCCATTAAAACAAGTATGACTTCTTGACTTAATTAGTACCATTCATTTTAAAATAGTAAAAGGAATATATCAAATTTTATCCTTAAATAAAAATTTAATTTTTATTTCTGGGTTCTGTGAAATACAATTAAAATATTTGTGCATGAGAGAGAGGGCGTGGCATTGAATACGGCGTAATAATGACGGGCCCGTGCGTCTGCGATCCCTCCTCCCTCGGCTTCCCTCCATAAGTACCCCCACCTTCATCCCGCTTCCCATTCGCCCCAAACCACTCTCCTCTCCCTCTGTCTCTTAGTGAGCAAGCAAGTGTAAAAATGGCTCCCGCTAGGTTTCTCTTCTGCATTGCCGCTTTCCTCTCTCTCCTGGCTACCGCCGCCGCCCGAATACCGGAGTCTACACCGGCGGCCTCTGGCAGACCGCTCACGCCACCTTCTATGGCGGCAGCGACGCCTCCGGCACCATGGGTAAAGTTCTTCCTATAAAACCTTTATAATTTCCAATTCCACACTAAATATCTGTCACGTCTACTTCCTTATCCTGTTGCTCTCTTACCTTGCGATGCTTCTATGGTTCTTCGCTTCTCTCCCCTGTACCCACCCCAGTACGGAATCCGTGGCTTACCCACCTCGAGCTCTGCATTTTCCGGCCAAATTTTATCGCCATTTTACTTTAGTCCTTCAATGCTCTCTTTCTCTACCAATTAGCTGGTCTATTTCCTTTCCCAACTTAATTTCAGAGGAAGAAAACACTGTCCAAGCCCATCTCACAATGCGAATTCAACCTCAGGAGTCTACATGGTAGGCATATTTCCGCACTATATAGTCGGCTAATGCATACTCGTTAATAAGCCATAATCATGTGGTTTTACTATCCGTGGGTTAGACATTCCTATGCTCTCTGCTTCTCGTCCGGATTCAGAACTGTAATGTGTTTCCGCCACCTCGAACACTTCAATTTTCCATAGCTCTTTTCATGTTACGCGATTCGAAATGTTCTGTATTACATTGCCTTCTCTAATTCCAGATCTTAAGCCTTCGACGAGATGTGTTATTTATGTGTTGTTTTATTGATTTATTTGGTTTCAGGGGGTGCTTGCGGGTACGGGAACCTATACAGCCAGGGGTACGGCGTGAACACGGCGGCGCTGAGCACTGCGCTATTCAACGACGGGCTGAGCTGCGGGGCGTGTTTCGAGATCAAGTGCGGCAACGACCCTAAATGGTGCAACCCGGGCAACCCTTCCATCTTCGTCACGGCCACAAACTTCTGCCCCCCCAACTTTGCCCTGCCCAACGACAATGGCGGCTGGTGCAACCCTCCTCGTGCCCACTTCGACCTCGCCATGCCCATGTTCCTCAAGATCGCCGAGTACCGCGCCGGAATCGTCCCCGTCACTTTCCGCCGGTGAGTCCATTAACTCTCTTCTCGGTTTTCCTTATCCCTTCCCTTTGCTTTGTTCCGAGGCTTCATGGGTCAGGTTCTCACCCTACCCTCGCCATTCGTGCGTCAGATTTCGGCGCCTTGTGCCTTTCTTTTCAAATAGACCGAAATACCCTCTGTTATTCCTAAATTACCTTCTCTGCCTGGGGCCATCGCCCCGTTGCCCTTTGGTTGGCGTGAAAATATGGACCAACGCCATCTTTATCTCAATAAGAAAACACGAAATAATATAAAATTAATTTTTATTATATACGAATTGGTTATAATTTTTATAAAATTTAAACATATTTTAATATAAACATGGACTTGATTAAAAAAATGTTTAACTCTTAATTTTTAATTATGGAAGTGGGAATTCCATTTGCGTTCTTTTACACGCTTTGGAAAAAAGAACAAAAGGATGTAAAGGTTTTTGGTGGACAATATTACCCCCAGTTTCTATCAGTAATTACGCTTAAGTGTAATCTTTAATTTTCGTTAGTAAATCGACGGCCCGAGGGGTGTCGTTTACCCGAACGGAACCAACAGGTTGTGACAGCTTGGGTCCGTTTGGCATTTTCCTTTTTACAGCTTTTGGACAAGGTGCTTGGGGCGCTCTCTTTGCGTAACCCAGCTTCGTGCCAACCCAAAACAGGGACACTCTTTTGCGCCCCATTCTTAATGGTTGGACGCATATACCCTTGTGAGATCCTCTTAATTCCCAACATTATCCGAATCCGTCCAGGGTCCGTCCTGGTTGCCCGTCCGTTTCTCACAGAGCCGACCGAAAACGCGGTTGTAACACATCACGTCCCTTTTTTTGTGGTGTTGTCCTACCGCGGCTAAAGAGCAAAATGACAAAAATGTCCAAGATTGGGAAAATCCTGTCCACAGATCGATGGCATTTTTGGTAATTTGGGACACGTGAGTTCTCGGACTGCAGTTGTCTAGTCCAAGGGCAAATGCACTGTTGATATGTTGAAGATTGGGGTGGGGAGTAGTTTGGTAAGTGACCCGGAAAATCCGGATTCGAAATCCCAAGCCCGAGACATTTGTCACCCAGTTCCAAGCGCCTGCGGGTCACTTTTGCCCGAAACCGGTCAACGTAGCTCTTCTAACCCCCCTAAAAGTGCATCGACAAGAGACTTTAAAATCAATAGAAGAAAAAATTAGAATTTAAGGAGAGTAATTACTTTGTGTGACAATTTATGGTATTATATTGTGACAGGGTACCGTGCCGAAAGCAAGGAGGAATCAGGTTCACGATCAACGGCTTCAGATACTTCAACCTGGTGTTGGTCACCAACGTGGCGGGCGCAGGGGATATCGTGAAGGTCAGCATCAAGGGCACCAACACCCAGTGGATGCGCATGAGCCGCAACTGGGGGCAAAATTGGCAATCAAATGCGATCCTGGTGGGCCAGGCCCTCTCATTCCGGGTCACCGGCAGCGACCGCCGCACCACCACCTCGTGGAACACGGCACCATCCAATTGGCAGTTTGGCCAGACCTACACCGGCCGAAACTTCCGGGTTTAAAGATACGTCAGCTGAGATTCTCTCTCGCCACAACGCATCGTACCTTACAATTACCCCATAGTATACTAATATTTACTTCTAGTAATTTTTAGTTCCCTTTTGCCTAAAAGTTTCCCGCCTTCTATTTTCTCTTATTTTCTCGGAAAAATTGGGAGTTAGCGGGTGGGCGGTAGCGTAGGGGAGAAATGTGATAGGACTAGAAGAGCGGGTCTATTGGAACTTCTGCCTTTTTTTTGTGAGTGGGTTTTAGCTTTAAGTGCTTTTGGCTTTTGTGTGGGGTGGGCTTGTTACAGCTCAAAGACCAAGGTTAAAGCTTGAAAGTGAAGAGGCTGAGGCGGCTGCAGGATATACACAAGGTGAATGTAGCCCGCAGCTCTGGTGATGATAGTTATATCATGTCATTTGTGTTAAATACAATTTATTATATATATATATATATATATTTATGTCTTGTATCCGATTGTCTTTAATTATTCTACGCGTTGTTTGGTGCATGCTTAAATATTTTTCCTGATTATCAGCTTATAATCGGCTTTTTTCTATTGGCGGAAAAAGAAAAGATTTGTTTGAATGACATGTGAGCAGCTTATAACAGGCAGCTTATAACAGGCGTTAGCTTGTTCACTTCCGAACTTGTATAGCTTGAAAAATCTGTGAGAGAGAGAGAGACGTGGTTGAGATTCTGAGAAGCTAAATGAAGTGAGTTTGATGGTAGAGGTTGCTTGGCAATTAATCAAACTCGGGAGAAATTGACTTCTTCCCAAACCAAACACCCACTTAGAAAAAGCGCTTACGTTGAAAAGTTAGGACTAGTTCGGTCCATGTGGTAAATGGTGAAATGCTAGTTGGAATAAGCGGCTTTTGAGAAATACATATCCAATGCTTGCTACAGCAATGGCATATTGTCCTTCCATTCTTCTAATGTGGTAAAAAGCCAGTATGAACGGATGTGGAATCAATACTCAAGAAGGAAGTCATTCCTGGGCCTCTCTTTTTCCCAGGTGTTGATCTACTTTTGCAAGAGTGAAGTGTCCTATCAGAGTTGGCTTTTTGGAAGAGTCAGACAACCAATTCATCATGATCAGCAGAGGGGATTCCTTTCAAGATATTGTGGCGGGGGAATTCTTCAAAACATTTTTATTGTCCTATATTATATATAATATTTTTTTAACTATTATTTAATAATTTAAATTTAAATATTTTAAAACAAAATTTTGTTTCAATTTTTATTAAATTTAAAATACTCAAAGTTGTCACATATATCAAAATAATAGTCTAAAAAAATATAAAAATTTCAAATACCTAAATAAAAAAATGTATCGTAACAAATTATATTATATAATCGAAAAATACTATTAAATAATTTAAAATTTTTAAACTTCACCCTAAATTGGAAAGAAATTTAACGTTCTCTTGTTTATTTTTTATTTTATAACATTTTTATCTTTCTTGATAAATGTCCAGTTTAGGTAAAGAAAGCAGAAAGTGAATAACATGAACAAGAAATTACAGTTTGTGTGGATGAATTAACACGTGGAAACAGTCAATACAACAAGAAGATTATTCCATAGGAGCAGAATTTAATCCCATTTATGTGCATAACAACCAGTTAGGTCATGAAATATTTTCTCCTCCTTGTCGGTGCAACTAGAAACAGTTGCATGTGCTCCCCCACCGCCCATATTAACTTTCCCTGCTGCTCATTTCTTTGGCTTTTCTTATCAGTATTTTCTTTGAATTTTTTTTTTGATGACATAAAATATTTATTTTTTATTATTTAATTTATAAGAAATAAATTTTTTTATTTTTCTAATTTATCACCGTAAAACCAACCAAATATATCCTCACTTTCTACTTCCTCTATTAAAATATTACTTGACTTGTATATAAAATAGTATACAAGCATCTCTTTAACAATAGATATAAATTGTTTTTTTACATCAGAAGCTTAAGTTAAAGGAAAAGGAGTGGATTAGAAGTTAAATTCAGAAGCTTAAGTTAAAGGAAAAGGAGTGGATTAGAAGTTAAATTCAGGAACTCAAGATGAATTTTACTAGTGTTATACTATTTTGATTAAATTTTGAATTTAACAACATGTTTAATTTGTTAAAAACAATAACACAATAATTTAATGCGTCAAATTCTCATTATTTTCGCAGGGTAAAATGTACATAACTGTACTTTAGTTATCAGTATTTTCTTTGAATTTTTTTATTGATGACATAAAAATATTTGTTTTTTATTATTTAATTTATAAGAAATAATTTTTTTTTTTTATTTTTCTAATTTATCCCCTTAAAACCAAACCAAATATGCCCTCACACTCTACCTTTTCTATTGAAATATTACTTGACTTGTATATAGATTAAAATACATGCATCTCTTCAACAATATGTATAAATTGTTTCTTTACATTAAAAGCTTAAGTTAAAGGAGAAGGAGTGGATTAGAAGTTAAATTCAGGAACTTGAGATGAATTTTACTAATATTATACTATTTTGATCAAGTTTTGAATTTAACAGCACGTTTAATTTGTTAAAAATAATAACACAATAATTTAATGGTCAAATTCTCATTATTTGGGGAGGGTAAAATGTACATAACTGTACTTTAGTTAATGAAAATTTCTTGAACCTTCTTATAGATTCAGTCTATTGGCTAACGAAAACCTATTTAAAAAAAAAAGAAAAAGAAAAATTCATGTCATTTTCATCTGCCCGTCTTTGCTAGCATATAAAATAACTAGATAACCGGATTGCTGTCTTGATTCTTTTCAATCTTGAATTCCCAACCTTGATGCCGCCTACCTTTGCCACCCCGTGGGGCCTATATGCAAGGGGTACCTTAATAGTATATACGCACAATACAAAGCTTCTTCCAATGTGAATAAACAGAGGGTGTGTTTGGCAAACACTAAAAGAATGCTCCATCCTTGATGGGTAAGTCTGAAATTACTTTACCCATCAGGATCAAATCCTCAAAAAGGAGAAAGACCACAAAGTCCAGCCTCAAAAGGAGGAATGGTATTTATACCTTATCACTCTGTTATCTACTAGGGCCTCTTTCGGTAGGAAAAAACAGTGGCCAAGGTAGGACCTACTCCAATTTGGCCGTGCAATCCATCTCCTCCATTGATATACATATGAAACAGAACCAATCTGCTCCATTTCTATGTGAATTTCGTGGTGTTTTACTTGGGATGTCCTCTGGAAGTAGCACTAGAATATGTCTCTGCAAATGGGATGACAAAGTTGAACTCTGAATATATACCACAGCAGTGATATTTTTGGTTGGTTTTGGGGTTGTGGTCAGATGGTTCTTGTGTACAATTTGCAGGAAAAATATCAGGGTTTTGTCCATCCATCACTCTACTTTCCAGGAAGATAGGTGAACAGATAGCTTGGGAATATTAAGAGTAACCACAAATGAGAAAAATTTCTGGGAAGAAGCATATTTCAAAGACATCCACTGGTTCACCTCAAGCTAATTTCCAAGATTTTTTGCACTAAAAATTATATTTTTTTCCGAGTAATGCTAGATTTAGTTGGAAAATAGTGAACTAATAAAATGAAAAGTAATATAAGACGTGGCCCTAACATTTTTTATTACTTGATTATCACGCTATCCCAACCAAAGAAATTGTCTTGCTTAGTAGACAGTGGGTACACACTGGCCAATCTATTTGTTTCTGATTTCTTTTGATGGTCTGAGGCTGCACTTGGATATGGGCCCATGACAGTTTTGTTTGGGCCTCCCTTGACAAAAGTTTTTTGAGTCCATGACCCTAATTTGCTTGGAGTCCGTGATCCTAACTTCCTTCTTCATGATGGACTGCAAGAAGTGGATGGAGCATAACATTTAGGGCCTTTGCGTGGCTTTCCCCTCAGGGGCCGGGGTTAGCAAATCGATGATCACAGCTTGGGTCATCTGAAAGTGGAGGAGTAGATGTACTTTTGATGAGAATTTTAGAAACCAACTGAGCTTAGAAAGATCACTAATTGGTGGCTGATTAGTTGTCTTCCTGTTTCTAGTAGTGAGGCCCCCAAGCCTAGGATGGAGGCCTCCAAGAGTTTGGATGGATAAAAATTAACACTGATAATGCTATTAGTTTATTACCTAAAATGGTGGGCTGCCGCCGCCGGGGGGGGGGGGGGGTTATTGAGAGATTATGGAGACTAAAACAAGAGCTTTTCCAAAAAGAGTGGAGTGGACTCGGTCCTTATAACTAAGGCTTGGGGGATTTGGGATGGTCCGCTGTTAGAAGAGTCATCCAGAAATTAGATTTGAAAGGAGTGGTGGACATGGTGATAGGTTTTGGAAGCCAGAGTGCCGACATATCCTCTATCATTGCGAGAATAGAGGAGTTGTGTTACATTGTCAGTGGTAAGTAAAGATAGTTCATATTAGCCATGGGATTAATAGTGCGTAAATTTCTTTGCTAAGGTAAATATGTCTTTAGAGTTAAAATTGAAAGAATGGATTTTCACTCCCAAATCTAAGAGTTTTACGTGGCTAGATAGATTGGAATTACATATCTCTAATTAGTTCTATTTTTGAGAGGGTCTTTGACTCTCTCTATAACAAAAAAATAAATAAATAAATAAACAAATCAAACAAAACAAAATTTAACACACGGGATTGACAAATTTCAAATATCAAGTTTGTCATAACAAAACAGTCAAGTAATGAATTTTTAAATTTTAAAAATTTAACTTACATGTATTAATTGAGAATAAAAATGAAAATTTTAATCTTTAATTGTATTAAATATCTGAATAGGTTTTACATACAATTTAAACAAATTTTTTAGTCAATTTTTAAAATTGAAGTCAATAACTATTAAATATATTTAATTGTAAAATGTCTAAACATATTCAATTTTCAAGGATAAATTGCCGTTATGTTTCCATAAAAATAACTGTACACTTAATTACAAAATAGGGTAAAAAAACACTCACATCTATTCACATTTATTTAAATAATACTTAATATCATTCTTATTATAAAAAAATACTTTCATCTCTTAACTAACTGTTAACTAATGGTTATTTAACAATTTTATTAAAATAAATATGAGAGTGACCCAATTTCACATGATTTGATTACCTATCTAAATAAAAATTAAAATATTATTTGATTCACTTAAAATTATTTTTAAAATTATTATTTTTAATTTAAAATAATAAAAAAATCTACTTTTGATAATTTAATTTTATTATTTTTTAATTTTTAAATTATTTTATTTATTTCTTAAAGCTTAAAAGCATATGCTTTTAGACTTCTACTTATACCAAATGCTTTCGATTACACCTAAAAATTTTTTTGAATAAAATTTTGTGAAAATTCACCTTAAAGCAGTAAAAGTTATAAAATCATACTTTTACGAGCTGCTTTCATACTTTTGTTCATAATTTGTAATTTTATTAACCGCTTTCATATAACAAACTATTGTATTTTCTATTTCATGCAAGTGACTTTGTCATTGTAATTTAATTTTCTATTATTTCTTATTAGTATTGTACTCATATTAACTTTATATTTGAATATTTATGATTTGATTATTTTAGTTTGAATTATTATTATTTATTATTTATATTATATCAATTATATCTATATTTTATAAAATTATACACACACACTATTATGTGTATTAAGTAAATTCTTCGCTTTTATAGAATGCTTATATCTTTTTTAACAAAACTATTAAACAATCGTTAGTTAACAGTTAATCAAAAAAAAAAAGTGTTCTTTTATTATAAAAATAGAATTAAGTGTTATTTAATCAAATATAAAATGAGAAAAGTATTTTTACCCTAAAAAATTTTAAAAAAACGCTACACAACTCCTTACAAATGACTGCACACAAAAACCTACAAACTAATGATACGTGCCTCCACTAATTCCTCAAATTAGAAAAGAATTCTACTTCTACTTATAAAATTATTTGATACAATCCTCAAATCAGTATGCACATCAGGGAGATGGACTCTCTACCTTATTATATATGTATAAATTTTACAATCTCTACGAAAGAGGAGGGTATATCCATTAAAGCATGCATATACACCCATGCATCTTGCAGTCCAGGGTTTGAGAGGAGAAGCAGAAGATCATAGATGACCTAGAACCCAGTGCCAGCTCTTCTCGTCTAGTTTTTCAATTGCTGAATCTGCTCCAGAGCCGTGACCACCCTGTGCATGCTAGGCCTCTGCCTTGGATCCTCATTTAGGCACTCGAATGCGAGGGAAGCCACCTTCTGAGCCTGCCGGAGAGAGAATCGGCCTTCCAACCGCCTGTCTATGAGCGAACAGATTCTCTGTTTTTTGGCTAGAAATGGCCTTGCCCACTCCACCAAGTTGCGCTCTCTGGATGGCCTGTACTTGTCCACCACTCGCTTCCCCGTCAGCATCTCTAGCAGGACTACTCCGAAGCTGTACACGTCGCTCTTCGTGGTCAACTGCCCTAATTATTTGGAAAGAAGAAATAATTGACACGTGCCGTGCATGTGCACACCAATAAACTCATAAATGCTTCTTCCAGTGTTATGAATTTTACCTTTTAAGAGATATTCGGGAGCAGCATATCCATAGGTTCCCATGACCTTACAGGTAGAAACATGGCTGCAGTCATCCACATTCCAGCCCAAGGCCAGCCCGAAATCCGAAAGCTTCGCGTTGTATTCCTGTGAAAAATTACAAAATGGAATCAGAATTAATTAACCCATAAGTTAATCAGATACACATGTCAACCGAGCGATACATACTGAATCGAGAAGTATGTTGGAAGTCTTGAAGTCCCTGTATATAACCTTGGTCTGTCCATCGTGCAGGAAGGCCAATGCCCTGGCTGCACCCAGACAGACCTTCATGCGGGTGGTCCACGGCAAGGGGTGCAAGTAAGACCCTCCTGTTTCAACAACGTACGTACGTACCCAATGCGTTAGCTACAAACACTACAGCTATCTGCATGAAATGGAAGTATTAAGTGTGGGAGGTCAAGACAGTGATAGAAGGTAAAGAGCTACAATTACACTCAACTGGTATCCGTTGGAATATGAGAGAGAGAGAGAGAGAGAGAGAGAGAGTTACTGCGGAATAAGTGGCTTTCCATGCTGCCCTTGGGCATGCACTCGTATACCAGGAGCCGGTGGTCGTCCTCTGAACAGAAACCGACTAATTTCACAAGATTAGGGTGGGTTAATTGTCCTAGATAGTTGATTTCTGCCTGTATCACCATCAACACAAAGAAAATTACGTAGTGTAGGGCTATACGTGAATCAAATTAATCTGTACAAATTAAGGGAAATTGGCAAACAAGATAAAAAAATTAGCAAAGTAATTATGAATTGTGGTGAAAATTTTGAACTCACCAACCATTCCTTTTGACCCTGGACACCATCTTCTTTAAGCTTCTTCACGGCGATGGCCAATCCAGTTCCGGGCCTCACCGGTGTAAGAGCATGCTCATGAAGCCACCCTTTGAAGACTAACCCAAATCCACCCTCTCCCAACACAGTGTCCATACTGAAGTTCTTCGTGGCCTTCTTTAGCTCCTCAAATTTGAATCTCTTCAAATTGGACCCTTCCAATATCTGATCCTCGCTCCGGCTACTCAACCTACTCAGACCATTTCCATATTTCCCGGTGTTTTCTATACCCGCCTCTGCAAAAAAAAAGTTAAAAATATGAAATGCATTGTTGGGGACTGTCAATTTGCTACATTTGGAAATAACCTCCATGTTTTTAAGCTTGAACTTTGAGCCCACTCTGAAGATGCATCTCGTCAAACTGTACCACGTAAAGCAAATACTGGTAAATGAAAGTTCGTTTTGGAACAATTTTATTGACATGTTTTATGACTCAATTATCTTTGTTTTCGATTGGGTTCTCATCCAATTTTTTTTTTCTTCATTTTGAAACCAGAAAAAAAAAGAAGGTTAGGAGAAAAGAGAGAATTCAATTTCCATATTTTCTTTCCATCACTCCTTTTCCTCATTCATGTTAGTGTTTGGTTTTCAAGAAAATTTAAGGACAAATATTCTACAATTTCAAGATCGATGTCTTCTTCACTTCTCCAAAAATAAAACCAATCCCAAAGAATAAACAAAAAAGTCAAATCAGAAGTTGGAACAAATTAACACTAGGAACTATAATATGGAATGTTGCATAAGAGCTAAATGGAATGAAAAAGTCACTATTATACAGGGAAAACATTCGGTCGAGTCAAGTATATAATCTATGGAAAGACAGTACACCTTTAGGAGATGGATTCTCAACGTTGATTCGGTGGCTGCAGCAAATCCCCATGGAAGAAAGCAAAAATCCAAACATCTCAGAAGCTCTATTCCCTTGGCCACCATGGTCCATGGAAATATATAGTACAGCTCTATCAGCTTTAGCAAACTGTTGGGTCTAGCCAGCCTTCTTCTTCAGGTTCAGTGAACTTCAAACTGCAACTTGAAGAAACCAGAAATAATTATTCAGCTTGGGGAAGCATCAGAAGCATAAACTTTCTACAAAACCATGGGCCTATGAATCTGGCCTCTGATCTAATCAAGTTGTGTGGCGGATGTTTGGTCAAAAAACTAAGTCCGGAGAGAAAACAGCGGCAAAAGGTCTCAGAAGTTGAGAGCAAAAGTTAAAGTCTTGGATGAGAGTGGGGGCAAATTGGAGAAGTCCCACGAAGGGTGCGTGAGTTTGAATTTAGTTGCCTTGTTCATCAGGGTATTCTGTTCCCTGTCATGCCCACGTCGTCTATATTCTTGTAGTAATTTTAAGTACGAAGCTAGTGGCAATTAAAAATAGTAAATATGAGTTAGGATACAAAATGGCTATTTACGATAAAAATTTGAAGGCATAGAAGACAAGTTCGAATTTAGTGAGTTAGAGGCAAGGTCGAGGAAATTCAAAATCATTGTTTGGAACCAGACTAAACTTACATAAGTCGGGTCCTAAGATCTGGATCTCTTAATCGGAAAAATTAATCTGCACTAAAGAAAATGATTACGTTTTGAAATTTTGTAGAAGAATGAAAGCTGCTAGTCATTTCCGGAGTAATCAGGATATCATCTGCAAAGTTAAACAACCCATGATACTCAGGGCAGACATGGAGAGATAATTATTGATACCGAATATGAAAGAAATGAAATCGCAATAAGACAGACATAGACAAATTAGAAATATCATATCTTAGATATTTATCCTAGCAACCTAGTTAAGCAGACATAAACTTATAACTATTCTCATATAACAACTCTGAGTGAAGGCATTCGAGTAAGGGATCAGTGATGGAGTACTGCAATGTGCATGCTTTTTCTCCTTTGTAAAACAAGCTTGGCAACAAGTTTAAACTTCTAGTTTATATTCATGTACTGTATGTTAAATTTCACTGTAAGAAAATGTCAAATATCTAAAGAAATTTTCAACATAATATTTTGTCGAAAAAGTTTTTGGTGAAAAAATTCTATTAGAAATGTAAAAAATTGTTAAGAAATTATAAAAAAAAAATCAAAAATAAATAAATATTTTCAGACGGAAATTTTCCAATGGATCGTCGGAAAATTTCTAAGAGCATTTTTAATAGAATTTTCTATCGAAAAATTTTTGACAACATTTCCAATAGAATTTTGGTTGAAATTTTTCTGGTGGAACTTTTCGTTGAAAAATTTTCAGCAAAAATTTTCATCGAAAACTCTGCACACTATCAATTTTATAAGCTTGTTGGGATTTGTAACTCTTTTCCGTCAAAAATTTTAATAAAAAAATTATCAAATATTCTACACACTCTATTAATTTTGCGGATTTGTTAGAATTTGTTACTCTTTTTAAATAAAAATTTTTGTTAGAAATTTAAAAAATCCATTGAAATTTCAATTTTACCAACTTTTTGGAATTAGTAACTCTTTTCTGACCGCTTTCCGTCTAAAAAGTTTTTTAAAAGCTAACGAGTCTTCTTTCTTCCCTCACTTCCTCTCCCTATTTCTCTCTCTCCTTAGTTATTTTACTCTGCACCAAACAGATCACTACTCACAATATCATGACCTACTAAGATGACCAAACCAAGCTTTGCCAAATCTCCTTAAGCTCCCTTGTTGCCTGGAGAGAGATAGTTCTTATTGACACTCCTAAATCCTTAATTTCCACAATTGTCTTACTTTTAAACAGTACTGATCATGTGATAATAGAATTTTTGTTTGGCTTTATTTTAAAAAAACTTATATTTTTTTCTTTCTTATAAAAATAGAGATATAGAAATGTCACTGGAAAAATTGCCAAAAGTGCTACCAAAAAATTGAAAAATATAAATATAAAATGTTAAATAAAAATAATTAAAAATGTTACCGTAAAAGTTGCTAGAAACATTGTTAGAAAGGTCGTTGGAGGTGTTACCGAAAACTCATCAAAAATATTGTCGAAAAAGAATTTGTTATTAAATATAAAATATAAACAATTAAAAAATATAAAATAAAATTTGCAATTGTCGTAACATATAAAAAAAATAAAAATATTGTAGGAAACGTCACAGAAAATATCACAGGAAAAGTCATTAAAAAGTTACCGAATATGTTGTTGAAAATCTGTTGACGGAGCAAATTTTCTATTAGAAATTGTTTTTGGCAACTTTTTTTTCGACAATACTTTTTTTGTCAGAAATTCTATCAGAAATAGACTTTTTTGACAAAAATTATTATTTTTCTTATGAAAACCGTCTATTGGAAATTGCCTACTTTCTTGTAATATTTAACTTATTGCTTGTGTTTTGATTTGTATTTCCTTAATATAAATTAGATTACAACCCATTTTATTTTTATGTTCTGCCACATTTTAATCTTCCATTGCTTCAATTGCTTTTGTTTTTTTTCAGTTATTACATAAAATCCTCATTCGAGGCATAATCAAAAGCACCCACCGAGAATTCTTGTAGAATGGACCGATGCCTGAAAACACAAGTTTTCTCATTCCTTTTATTTACGAATCAAAAACAATGACTTATATATCATTTTAGCAACCCTTAATCTGATTTTATAAGAGTTCAATCAAGTGCGTAAAATTAAGAAAACTGATGCTAAATTAACAATCAAACATTGTTAAGCTGTGTGAGTTTGGCTGCGGTCACAATCATGAACGTGAGAAATTTTAGTGGCTGGTAGTCATTTTCAAATTACTAAATTCATGAGTAACTAACCATCACATCCTCATAAAATTAAAGCCAGTGAGCGTGGTGTGATAACAGAGACCAAGTAAAAATTTACTTAGTTCAGGTGTAAGACCTCACATTCGTTGAAAAAAATATTGATAATACTATTATTTTTAATTGAACCAACGTAAAAAAAGTTTAATGGCAAAGTAAATTCAATTATATTCGTCAATGAATAATCTAAAAATAGCAAAATTTTGGTAAATGAAAATGTAAATTTATATTTAAAAGGAAATGAACGAACCCATCATCTTTAATTTTTTAATACAAAATTTATCTTTACAGGAAATTAATGAGGCTCTTAGCAAGATTGTAAGGAGAAGGGTTATCCTTGGAATGTAATATAATATATTTTTAACTGGCTGAGCAGAGCTTCAAATTGACAAGTATTGTGTGGAGGTGGTTCCTCCGGGTCAATTCATTTTGGTTCCCTCCCCATAAGGGAAGACGACATGAAAAGATCTAGCTGATCAAACTTTCAGGCCACAAATTAATATTTATAAAATTATTAAAATAATATTATATATATGAAACTAAAAATAAAGATTTCTAATAAAATGGATAATTAAGAATGGATGAGAATAATACTTGTAATAGTAAATAATTTATGCCGCTTAATTTTTGAAAGCAAGTCGTGGATTTTATTCTTAAATACTCAGAAGGGTAGCTATAATTTTTTCATTTATCAATATAATTAAATAAAGTTTATTTATAATTTATTTTTTTGTCAGGTCCTTTATTTCATTTTTTTAGTTATGTAAAATGAGATTGCCAATTGTGTAATTTTGATCATCCATTTCTTGCATGCATGGTCCAATAAATCTTCTTTCAAAAAAAAATTATAAATGTTAAATTTGAAAATAATGTGACCGAAGTACAAACAAACAACGAAAGATTAATAAAAATTAAATATAAAAACAAATTTCCTCGTATAAATTTGGAAACCAAAAAAAAAGAGGAGGAGAAGGAGGGTAGCCAGTGTGTCAATTCAAACAAATTTGGTGAAGACCGCTCCCCTTGTCCCACATCGGTTGTAATGAAGTCCGGGTGTGTGTATTTAAATCCTACTTAAGTTAGTGTTCCTCCAGTTCTTGACTTAAATTTGACTTTTTTATTAACTAAAAAAATTTGTTGAAGACGAGTTAATAGCGGGATTAAAAATTATTTATATATATATATATATACGACATTATTAAGTTTAAAATTTAAAAATTTTGAAAATTAATTTTTACTTTATTTAAAATTATATATATATATATACACACACACACACAACACTATTAAGTTTTAAAATGTAAAAATTTTGAAAATTAATATTTTATAAAATTTTCAGCTATTATTCCAGAAATGGAAACATTCTTTCTTTAGGTATTATTTTTTCAAAAAATTTGATTTCAAAATTTTAAATAATTTTTTTATTAAAAAGCTGAATATCAAAGACACCCTGAAAATTCATGACATAAATCTTTACCCTGCATGAGCCCTTCCCATCGACAGATTTTTTATTTTGACCGTGTTTGAACAGTAAAAACAGAAAATAAT